AGAAACGGTTTGACGACCTCACGTTACTGGAGTGCTTCCACACCTCGGCCGAAGAAACGCCTGTCTTTTTGACACTGGGCTAGATAGCTCCAGTTAATACCCACTACCTGTTCGGTGTATGTGTGCCACTTCTTTGGAATCCACCTGCCTGAACGCTTTATATCAAGTCACGTAAAACATGCAGCATAACGTACAGTGTATCTTTCAAATAAAGATGGGAAAAGAAAAAAGAGGTTGGAAGCAGGACAGGTTGAAATTTGTAATGAATGCACTTTAGTACTCCACAATGTTCAGGCGATTGAATGATTTAGATGCAACGAAAAGATTGGTTCTCCAACTAAGAAAATGACAACTTTTCCATGTGCTTTGACAATGCTGCATTGCCGATGACCATGGAATAATCAGATTAGTGGCGGTCCTGACAGACAGCAGAAACGACATCATTCGAAACAGTTTCAAAAATGAAATAAGATGAAGTAATAAAATACAGTCTTGCAGCTCTTTGTATCTGGCGCATACTGTGAGCAGCCCGGTGAGCTGTCCAGCGATTGGCTGCAATTTGTCAGCGATCCGCGATCCAAAGGAACAATCTTGTTGGCATTTGGCACAATCTTGAATTGGCAGAAAGCTCCGTCAGAGAAACGTGAGGCATTTGTGGGCGCACTGAACCAGCTCACTGATTATCGAATTGTTTGGTCCTACAATGGGCCGAAAATCGATGTTGCGCAACATATTAAACTTGCCAGATGGGTACCACAAATGGAACTGCTTTATGATACTCGTACAAGACTGTTTCTTACGCACGGAGGATTGAAAAGGTGAAGCATTTTGAAACATAATAATTTAGTTATGAATTTGCTAATCACTCGCTCGCCTCACTACAAAGGCGGTGGATGTGCGGGAGTATTCCGAAGGTAGCAAATGCCAAATGCAACCACACGCTGGCAAAGCTATCGATGTTCCCTTCTATGTGAGTTTCACAAAAGCACGATGAGGGCATATGCCAGCATCAGTTTCCTATCAAAACGAATGAATGAATCGTAGAAGAGTTTATTGTTCTACTGGGCAAGTCGCAGATCCACGACTTCTATGTAACAGTAGTGGTACTCACTACTTCACCACGTTCGACAGCTTAAGTTACTAGTGGTGGAGCCAGAAAGCAGATGTTTCACATTCTCACTGTTTATGGGAGTGAAAGCTAAGCAATCCAGGTGGTAGCTACTGACAGCAACGGCTAACTGACTGGCGAAGATGTCGATGGCTCTCTTTTCCGTTGGTTGCTCAGAAGCAAGCTAATTGCGATTTTGACCCCTGCCACCCATTAGTACCAATTTACAGTATAAATCAGTGTCCAGTGAGGTGCCCGGCTTGGCTCCTATTGGTACCTGAACAACATCAAGGATACCAGGACCACAGGGACAATCACCAAAAGCGTCTCATGTCAGTGATGTTACTAGGATGTACCCGAACGCTCTGGAACAGCCTTATCTCTTCGGTTCTGGACTGTATTCTCCAATTAGCACTATTTGTTCAATATTTGTCCACTATTTGTCCACTATTTGTTCAGTACATATATACCACTTTTTTGGGAGCCATCTTAGTGATCGATTACTTTCTCGTTGGTACCATTCACTGATGTGCAGTGTTCAGTCATCAGCAAGACTGAAAAAATGTCTACCTTTCTTAAATGGTCGCAATGATAACATTTTAATAAATGTTACCCACTGATGGCAACATCTTTTTTGCAGTGTTAAAGAAGCGGCATGTGCCTCGATGCCGACTATTTTTATGCCGATGTTTGCTGAACAAACTCGTAATTCATGGCTTGCATGGAATCGCGGTTATGGCAAGTTGCTCAACAAAGTTAATATTACTGCTGAGTCTCTTTTGCACACAATCCGGGAAATGCTCGAAAATACAAAATACAAAGAGAATGCGCTCAAGTTCCGCCGGTATCCGTTTTTGCATTACAAAGAAATTAGGCATTAGGCAAACCTGAGACATCCTTTTCATAAAGCTTGCCCGCGTTGTATTTCTCCAGTTACTACCCACCGTATGCATGCCGCTCTTTCGAGACCGCTCGGGAGTGGTCGTTCACTTCCCTGTAGAAATCACTTCACGAACGCGCATTGTCCATCGGTTGTCGACATGTTCTGCCCATCAGATTTTACTTTCTCGCGGGCGCAATGATGCAATGATGTCGTGCACGCCGCTCATCAGTCGTAGAGTCTGATAGTTCATATGATTGCGGAGAGACGCGCCAAGCATCCCTCACTCCGTCGCTCTCTCCTTAACATCCCGTGCTTGCTCTTCAACTTTCGTCAGTGACAACGTTTCGCATCGTGCATCATTACTTTTAGCACAGTGGTAGTGAACAGGTGGGCAAGATCCTTCCGGCTCAAAACTCTGAAAACGTCGATGATGCTGTGAAATTTGCGCCAGTCAGCAGCCAGCTATTTTGTATGCAACATAGCACTAAAATAGAAATCGGATTATAAGAAATAGCGCAGGTATTTTTTTTTTTGATATCTAAGAATACTAAACGAGTGCATTTCAGCTTCTATGATGATGTATCTCCAATTTCTGCCATCGAAGGAGGCGCGTTCTGGATCGAACGACTGCTGAAGTATGGTGGACGGATGCCGAATTATTTTTATACAAGGTCTACACAACTGAGCTACACTGTCTACCTTAATCTCGATCTTATCATATTTATCCCTGGTGTTTTTGTTTTGTTGTTGTTAGTGAGATAGAAATTTGCGCGTAAGGAAGGAACTATAGCAAAACGCAATACCAGTAATGTGTGTGTATCAGGTCAGTGATGTATTGTATGCTTCTGTGCGTGTTGCTGTTAGCATCAGTTTACAAATTTCTTTCTGTTTTTTTTTTTTGAGTAAGAAAACTTTCAATAGTTTCTTACAGCGAGTTAGATTCTTTGATGTGCTCGGTAGAGAAGTGGATAAAAAAAATTTCATGAAAGTGAAAAATTCTCAATAAACTGGAAATTTCTCCAAATTTTTGCTTAGCTGTGCTACTAATTACTATAAATAGTTAAAAATTTATTGCATTGTGTTCAGCATACACGCCAACAAACATACATACTATAAAGGACATTGGGTCATGGGCCCCATGGTTCTAGTGCCTCTT